TAAAGAACAGGGTCTTCTTACTGTGCTACCCCCAGAGTGATATTAAGTTCAAATACTTTAAGCTTCATGGAAAACATTAACAACTTATAGTTGTTTTAATACAATGCAGATCTTGCTCCTAGTAAGGTGACATTTCACTCTTAAAAACACTGAAAACAGCTGAATATCCACCTAAAACTACAGAAAGTGCCAACAGTGCCCCAATAATCCCAACTTTATTCCTTAGCCCTTAATTATGCTAGTGTGTGGTATAAAACACCCAGTATAACTCGAGGGAAATAGATTTTCTAAAACACCTAATTTCAAAAAATAAATAAATAAATAAAACACCTAATTTCTTTCTGTATTATTCACACTGTAGAATCACATCACACATGGATTTAATGTCCAATTATTTGTGCTGCAAGAAAAACAAGAGAGAAAAATACTCTAAATAACGGTGGTAGGATGCTTGCCCTCACATCCTCGTCCCAGAGTGAGCAGGCAATGGAGACTGACTCTGCTGTTCCTCAGTCAATCCAAAGCCCAGTCACCTGTTGAGATTACAACTCCAGAAAAAAAGTCACCTGTACTAACAGCTGGGGAAAACACTAGCTTGTGAGAACTGAAAAACAGTACGTCGGTTAACCAGTTTTCAAACTGGTGCCTTCCTAAACCACTTTTTCACGGGTAATTTTGACTACACAGGATTTTACCTTAGATGAGAATTTAAGTCCAAAGCTCCTACATAAAACTGGATTTCATTTTACTCAGGTCTTCAGAGCAGAAAGAATTAGGATCCAAAACACTTGTCTTTTATATAGCAGAGTAAGCTACTAACGTATTTTTCATCCTACTTCACAAGTGGGAAAAAGAGAGCAATAGGATGCTGTAAAGAAGCCATACTAAACACATGTGAGAGCTGTTCCATGACTTACTTTAAAATAAACAAAAGGTAATAGAAGTCTGTCAAATGATCAAAAGCAATCCTTTAAAGCTGGTTCTCAACAGAGGGAAAAAACAAACCCACAAACATTCACCAAGCTTTGAGATGTGCCATTACTACACAGTACAAACTGTGTAGTAGACAGGGTGAAAAGAATACCCAACCAACAGAAAGCTTCTCCTTTACCAACATGCGGTCACTTACCTCTCCAGACATCAGTTTCCTTTTCTATAAAAAGAAGGGGCTAATTTAAATAACCTTTGACTGTTCAACATTATTATTTTCCAACCTCATACCTCCTTATTTCAATGTCCAACTCATAAATCTTTTGTGAAAAAAATAAAAACTAAGTAAGAATCAATTAATCAAGTGTGCTAAGGTAGAACAGTTCTTCACTTTGCTACCAGTAACGGTGAGAAATATTTTTATTTAAAATTTTTGAGAAAGATTATATAGACATCACCAAGTTTCACATCATGTAATCATGAAATTCTACTCTAACTCACTGTTCTTGGAAATTTTATTTCTAACCTAACTAGTATCTGACTGTCAATGGCTTTTTTTTCTGGGGGAGGTGGGGGGTTGCAGGGGGCATGGCTTGTGGGACTGAACCCAGGCCCCTGGCAGTGGAAGCACAGAGTCCTAACCACTGGACTGCCAGGGAATTCCCTCAACAGATTATTTAAAAGCAAGATCCATAACAAGTAAGTGAAAGGGTTAACTAGACAGAAATTTTGATTAAGAGATTGATTACAACTTACTTCACTCATCTCAGGTCACATGCAAAAAAAAAAAAAAAAAAAGACTTCAAACACAGAGTACTACCCCTTCCTGCATTCTCAGTTCATACTAGTATTAGTGGCCTTTGGTGACAGAAGGGGTGAAAGATGGATTTTCACCTGTAAGTTCAAAGACATGTGCCTCTGGGCAGCTAAATTTTCATAAATCTGTAAGAACTCTTCCCTTGTGGAGACACCTTATGGTACATAAGTCCTTTTTAAATTTGGACAGTCTCTAAGTTTGTTATTTGAGTTAATGACTTACCATCTCATCTAGCAAAGGCCCCAATACAAGCCTTTGGGTTTAGGTATCATGAGGTCTGGTGTTAGGAAACAGGACAGCTGGTCTATGGAAACTCTTCAGCATTCCTCATCCTCAGCTTTCCTCACTCTCAGACATTTGACACCTGGCCAACTCTTCCTTTCCTTCATTACATTTTTTTCCCTTTCTTACTGAAGATCAAAAAATCATTTCAACTCACCATTGTAACTGTGATCGTTTCTTCCAATTACCATTTATTCATGACATTTCACATTGCCTCTATGTTTAATCATACTAATACAATGTTTTTATCTCAATTTTGTAATTACTAGTTACCATTAATTTCCCTTGTGGCTTCCCTTGTGGCTCAGCTGGTAAAGAATCTGCCTGCGATGTAAGAGACCTGGGTTCGATCCCTGGGTTGGGAAGACCCCCTGGAGAAGGGAAAGGCTACCCACTGCAGTATTCTGGCCTAGAGAATTCCATGGACTGTATAGTCCATGGGGTCCGAAAGAGTCAGACACGCTGAACGACTTTCAGGTCACCATTAATTCAACATATTCTACCTTATAAATGATACTGAGTTTTCCCCAGATTAAAAAGCCTAGAACCTTTTATTTTTTAACCTGAATGCTAAAATATGTGACCCAATTCTGATCCTCTCTTATTCCTCTACTCTCAACAAATGAAGATTAAAGACGCTATCATTTCCTTGCACATTACCTGGACTAGTTAAGTGGGTCAATTAGAATACAGTTTTGATAACTACAGATTTACTCTCTCCAAGAAACTAGTGGTCTTCATTTCACACAGAAAAACTATGTTCTAAAACCAAAGACTAAATCTCATCAGCTAGCTCTTAGATCCAGATTGAACCTGATGCGCTATCTAGCACATTCAGAACACATTCCATCACTGGAACAAACCTTCTGAATATGTGTCAAGTAGCTCTCAGACATTAGACTACGTTCCTTTAGCATACCACTGACAGTTGTTTTAAGAATGTTGTTTTCAGTAAGTGATAAGCTGCTAACTCCTATTCAACTTAAGATGCATTCACAAGGTCTCCCACTTAGGTTACCCAGTATACCAGTGAACAGAAACCAGCTTTAAATGAACCAAGTAATCAATATCATTATGAAATTCTATTTCTGTCTCCTAAGATTTTAGAAATTACAACCCTCATTGTCATTCACAGGCATGAAGTTCCCATTTCCACCATCACCTAGACCAGTGGGAAAAGCTACAAAAGGACAAAATTCCACAGGATGCCCCATATCACCTCATCACTGCCCATTTCCTAGGAATGCCATCAATTTTAGCAATAAAGTATATTCACATCTTGAAACTTTATACTCACAGTGGTTACAAAACCACCATACTAAACAAGCACAGCCAGATTCAGTATATGGAATGGAAGGGGGAAAAAAACTATTTACTATTTCCTTTACATACGCTCTTAGCTAGTCCTCAAAACTCTGTGATGTAAGTACTAGTATTCTCCTTTGTTAATAAAAAAAGAAAGAAAAAGAAGAACAGGGAAGTTAAGCAAAGTAACAGTATGATAGTTTTAATAACCAGAGCTACCCCAAATAAAACTTCCTGGACAAAGAACTCACCCCTCTTACTACATAATTGAACATGGAGTCAAAGTAAACACTGTCAACTTTATTTTCAAAAGAAATTTCTACTTAATATCTTTATTATAACTGCACTACTTAGGATTCAAAGCAACCAGGATCAACACTTTTCTTACCCAATTCTATGATCAAAAACAGGCTTTGTTGTTCTAATGTTCAAAAATCTCACTTAGCTGTCTCACCCTCACCTGATCTAATGGTGTCCAGAAACCAAGATATATGTCCAGACACTAAGATCCAAGGATGTTTCTGTCAAATCTATGGGAAAAGGAATGATAAACACCTGTTACAAAAGCTTTCCAAATTCGGAAGCTCTGAATTATTGTCAATCCCCAATCACTGGTGGTGCTGGAAAACTCTTGAAAGTCCCTTGGACAACAAGGAGATCAAACCAGTCAATCCTAAAAGAAATCAACCTTGAATACTCATTAGAAGGACCGATGCTGAAGAAGCTCCAATAGTTGGTCACCTGATGTGAAGAGCCGACTCATTGGGAAAGATCCTGACGCTGGGATAGAAGGCAGAAGAAGAGGGCGACAGAGGATGAGATGGTTGGATGGCATCACCCATACAATGGACATGAATTTGGGCAAACTCCAGGACGGTGAAGGACAGGGAGGACCGGAGTGCCGCAGTCTATGGGGTCGCAAAGATTCGGACACGACTTGGTGACTGAACAACCACAACAAAATCAGATTCCCTCGGTTCCCCACGCCCGCAAAAAAAGAAAAAACCAGAAAAAAAAAAAGAACATCCACCAGAACCTAACTTTTCGGAAGACATGGGGAGATGGAAAAGCTATAAAGAGAGAGGTCACGGAAGTACTGGAGGAAAGGGCCCTAGGTGTTTCTAGAGTCGAAATGAAAGGCCTTGGGCAAGCTGTTATGTCACTTTCCTCTCTGGGCCTCACTCGGCTTAATGCGGTGACTGGCAAGGCTACTACTCCGTGGCTTAGGACGAACTCAAGATTCCTCAGTGAGCACACGAGCAAACCCATCAAGCTCCCTGCCAATACTGCTACCTTCGATCTCACCATCTCCAGGACTTTCTAAAAGCGTTGGACCACCTCACCATCTCACTCCCAAACCCCAACACACTTGCCTCCCCAACTAGCGGCGTCTCCCAACCAGGCCTTCACACCCACACCCTTCTTCTCGCCTCACCTGTCCCAGACAATCAGCAGTCTTAGCGCTCCGCTCCTCACCTTACGCACACCTTCCCCGAAGAAAAGATGCCCAATTCCGGCCCGGGGAGGCCGACCCCGAGCTCACCTGGTGCCCGCCACCCCCAACAATACCACTCCCTTCTTCCAACCTCGCACATCACCACCACCACCCCCTCCACGCCCCGTTCACCCTGCCCTCCGCCGTCTCGGGGAAGCTAGGGCCACTCACCTGGCGCCCCCGCACCGTCTCCCGGGCGGCCTCCCGTTGGAGCTGCCAAAGGGCTGTGTGGGACCGGGGCCGGGCTCGCCGCTGTAGCCGCCGCCGCCGCTTCACCTCAGCCCAGCCCCATCGCCCTCGGCCGGCGCCGGCGGCAGCGGATCTCTCGAGCTCGAGGAGCCGCCGCCGCCGCGCGCTGCGGCTCCGGGTGAGGGGAGGGAGGCGCCGCGGCGGGGCCCGGGCCGAGCAGGGCGCTAGGGCGTCCGCGCTCTCCTCTGCGTCCGCGGCGGCTGCGTGCAGCCGGAGCAGGGTGAGAACAAGGGCGGACGACAGGGGGAGGTAGGCAGGGGAGGGGGGCGTTCTGCACTCCGAAACTGCCTCTCGCCTCCAGCAACGGAGCGAACCCCCCTCCCCTCAGCGGTGGCGCCTGGATCACACTGCGGGGAGAGCCAGCGGGCGGACGGGGAGCGCGCGCTGCTAGCTCAGGACTCCCGCGCCGGATGTGAGGTCACGTGCTTGCCTCATCCAGCGCCGAGGGCGGAGGGGCGCAGAGGGTACGTCGGGAGGGGCGGGGCCGGAGTGGGCGGGGGCGAAGGCCTGGCCCCGCCTACATCTTCTCCTTGAGCCCCTCTTCCCCAGGCTGGAGCCAAAAAGAAAGAGGGAGGAATAACGCTGCAGAAGAGCTGTCTATTGGGGAGGTGTTACTAACGCAGGACGGCTTTTTTTTTTTTTTTTTTTTTTGGTGGGAGGACGTGGTATTTGCCATCCTGGCCGCCGTGCAAAGACCAGATTACAGTCCAAATCCTCATTTATGAACAGGGAAACCGAGTTGTAGTAAGGGGCCTAGCCTGACTTGCCCAGAGTCAAGGTCACAGAGGTAGCTTGTACAACAATGATGGAGAGGAGGTCAGATCCTGGCTCGGCTCACAGTTCCTTAATATTACACTCGCCCTTGCAGAAACCAAAATCTATAGATCGCATTTAACAACCGGCTCAGCGGTGCCCAGCCTTGGGAGGATGACTGGAAGGCGTACCCAAGAGAAAGCTCCCGCGCGCCCACTACACCTCCTCCAGGGGTAGGGATTTTCTTCCGACAGCGCTGGATGCAAATTAAATACTTCCCCTAGTAGAAGATTTATCTCGGGGCACAGAGATGAACAAATCTTCCGGCCGGGTGAACAAATGGCGAGTTCGGTTTCGCGGCGTCCCTTGGGCAACCCGCACAAGGAGCGCGCTCAGCCACCTGCTGCCTTGGGCTCCGGCCATCTTTCCGCCCTGAGACTCTCTCCCGCGCCCTTTAGGCCCCGTCTTCACTGTTAGTGTCATTCACCTCGCGGCCAACAGAACTCCCATCTGCAGGGGAGGAAGTAAGGAAGAGACTCCCGACCTCTGGTGCACCGCCCTCGGGAGCTTTCAGGCACTGGCACATGATACTCTAAGTCGTGGGTTGCTACCCTTGATCCGCGACACATGGTGACACCTCATCTGAGACAGCACACATCCATAGCATCGATGTCGCCTCACTGGGAGCCAGGAACACACTGCTCCTGGGCCCCTACGTCACGTGGAGTGGGACAGTTTACGCGCACTTTCTCGTACCGCGTGGCGTGGGCCCACACTGTACCCAGATGGATCTACAGCCCTCTCTCCAGCCCTCCAGCCCATGGGATCAGTCTCACTGTCTGTTTCCTCCCTCAAATGAGTAAATGAGATAAAGAGTGTGGTAGTTGCTGGGCATACTGTAAGAAGGTGTCTTGGTGGGGTTGAGCCTGTAAGCTTCCTTCCTCACCTCTCGCTGCCGCTTGGATCCTCGCTGTTTTCCCTTGGCCTTTAAACAAGCTTAGCTTCTAAAAACAAAACTATGGTGCTCAACCTCCGCTCCAAGTGCCCTCTCCAGTTAGCTTCCAAGGGCTTCTTTCCCTCTCATGACCTCTTAAACAGTGGTCTCTCTGCTGTCTCCACTTCCTCATTTCTCAGCACTGGGCATTCTAGCTTCCCCTCTTCTCCCCAACACACACCCTTCCTCACCCTTCCTGGGCAAGAGAATCCCTGCCTTTCATTCTCCCAAATCTTAGTAGGCACCCTGCAGGCATTCTCTTTCTGGGTCCCTCTGCTACATATGACAATTCAGATGACCCCCACCTTCTGGAATCTCAACATTCTCTTGGTTTGCAGAAGAGTATACTCTTCCAGTTCTCACATCTCAGTAAATAAGGCCTCTGCCTCCTTGGGTGGCATCCTTATGTGTCACTAATTGTGAATCTCCACCTTATATGCAAGACTCCGAACCCACAGTTCTTCTCATTCCACTCTTAGGAGATGACCTCCAACCTCACGGTTGCAATTACCCAATCAGCAATTGCAGCCCAGACCTCTTCCACAAGAGTTAGACCCAAATATCCAACTGCCTGCCAGGAAGCTCTATCTAGATATCATAGGGGCACCTCAAACTCAGCTTGTCTAAAACTAAACTTGCCCTCTGCCTTCAAAGCAGCCCCTCCCTCAGCTGTTGGCACCAGCATCCACAGCCATCAGAATTAGAAAGTTGAGAATGAATGTGAGTGTTTTTATTTTATTTTGGCCTTGCAGCAGAGCATGCGGGATCTTAGTTCCCTGACCAGGGATGGAACCTGCCCACCCATCCCGCTTCTTCCCCCTGCGGTGGAAGGCAAAGTCTTACCCACTGAACCATTAGAAAAGTCCAAGTGTAAGTTATTATTGATTCAGCCCCTTGTCTTATCCAATCATCTAGTCATTTCTATTTCACCTCCTTAATAAACCTCAAATCTCTACCCCCATTTCCACTGGCAAGCATCCCAGTCATCCTTTCCAGCCTGAACTATTAGAGTAACCTCCTAACATTCTCTTCAGACAAATTCATCCTCCACTCAGCCTCCAGAGTGAACTATCTAAAACACAAACGTATCTAAAATCCTGCAGGAGTTCCCCCTGGAGTCTTGCTGTTGCATGTATCTCCAAGGAACCCAACAGGAACTTGTCGATGCACTCATGCCTTTAAAAGACCACAGAGAGGTCCAGACTTCAAGAAGCAGCCAACGTCCCCAAAGTAAGGCAACACACAACCAAACAAGAAAAAGTTATAGGAAGAAAAAGGGCAATTGAATATTTCATAGAGTTTTCTGTTACAGATGTTCTGGGTATGGAAAGAAGAGAATTTGGACACTGACGGGAGGAGCTGCTGAGTCACTGGGAAAAGCTTGAGCATGTTTACAGGTCAAGGGGAAAGACAAGCCAGGAAAGGAGAAGCCAAAGATGAAGAGAAAGCGAGTGGAGCGAGCCTTGAAATGTTCTGGAAGGCTGGCTGGTTCTTGGCCCAGGATAATTCTGGGCCTGGACCTCTGTTCATGCTGAGCCCAGCCCTTCCCTCCTCTAATCCTCCTCATTCCTTAAGACCCAACCTTCAATCACAGCTCCAAATAGGTAACAGTCCTCCGTGTGTGCATGTGATGAGTCACTCAGTCATTTGGTAAGCTCTCACCTCACTTTCCACCCTTATTCTCGATTGTCTTCCCCTCTTACCATCATCTTACCTTTCTAGTTCACTGAAAAAAAAAAATGTAGACCATCAAGAGGGAATACCCACAAATCTATGCATTAACCCACACATGCATGGAGTATCTCCCTCACTCACCTTTTTGCAGAGGGGCAGACAGTGCCTCTTTCTAAGAGCTCTGACCTTTGTAAGTATAGTCCTGGGCCTCCCAAAGGTCCCTGCTATTGCCAACTCCAGTGGATACTTTTCAGTCTTTATCTCTCAGCCCTCTCAGCAACTTTATCTTCCATTCTTGAAACACTTTTCTCTGTTTTGATGTCTCTTTCGGATTTCCTCCTCCCTCTTTGTGTGTATCATTGCAGACTCTTGTGGCTACTGCCTCTGTCTCACCTCTAAATGGTGCTGCTCCAAGGCTCAATCCAGGGCCCATTTTTCTGTTTGTACAGTCTGTTTGGGTTTGTTGGATTTTGGTCTTTGTTTTGGTTTGCTTTGGTTTTGTCATCTATGGACCTTACAAAACTTGTGGATGGGCTTCGGGAGGTCTGTAAATTCCTTAAACTTGAATGAAAACAAATACTTTTAATGGAAGAAGTGTAGCTTCTATCAGCTTTTCAAAGTCATCTGGAACCCCCCAAAAGGATAAGAGCACTTATCCATATTTGTTCCCCCAAATGATACCAAACACCATGGTGATAGCTATCATCTGTATGTACATTTATAACAGAATTATATATATATGTATATCTGTAGCCCAGGTGTCACTTCAGAATCCCTGGGCCGTATGTCCATGAGCCATATGTCACATAATGTCTCACTAGTACCTCATCAATTCACTCATCCAAAACTCAACTCTTGCCCTTCTTCCCCAAACCAGACATTCACCCAGGCTTTCTGGTCTGGTGACACTGTTACCTACTCAGCTCCACAAACCAGAAACCTAGGGGTCATTCTTTCCAATTCATTATCAAATCCACTACAAATCCTTTCATATCTCACCATCTCTACTTCCACTAGAATAATTCAAGCCACTTCCATCTCTTACCTAGAACTGCTGCCTTACCCTCCTACTGATTTTTCGAATTTCATCCTTGTTGTTGTTCAGTCACCAAGTTGTGTCTGACTCTTTGTGACTCCATGGAGTGCAGCGTGCCAAGCTTCCCTGTCTTCCACTATCTCCCACAGTTTGCTCAGATTTATGTCCATGAGGTCCATGATGCTATCTAAGCATCTCATCTTTTGCCATCCTCTTCTCCTTTTGCCTCCAGTCTTTCCCAGTGTCAGGGTCTTTTCCAGTGAGTTGGCTCTTCACATCAGGAATGCCTGCTCTCCCAGAAACCATTTCATCCTTACCCATTTCCAATCCCATTCTTACACAACAGCAAAGTGAATTATTATGTGTGACTTGGAGCCTAGCTTCTGATAAACATTTTCAATGGCTCCTTATTTCACTGAAAATAAAATGTGAACTTCTTTGACCTACATAGTCCAGTGTTGGATGTGGCCTGCCCCACATTGCACCTTTACTGGCACTCCTGTCTTTCACCTTCCTCCCATCCTAGATTTTTCCCTACTTCACCTCATTCCAATCACAAGCCTTTTTTCAGTTCCTCAAACACATTGCACTTTCCTGCCCTCAGGGACTTTGCACAACCATTTCTTTCTCTCTTTCCCTTGATTCCTTGTTTGGCTAACCCTCGCAAATTCAGCTCTTGGCTTAAGTATGTGTACATCGGTTCTTGATAAAGGCCTTCCCTAGCTATTCATCCTTTTCCTTTA